GGGGGGTGAAGGAAAAAGTAGAGCTTCCCGTAGCCGATCTCAAGAGGTGATCGATCCGCCGTTGTAGGTGGTATGTAGCAGCGGCGTTGAGAACACCCCCCCGCCCCCGGCGAAAGAATGGGCGATTTAACAATGCTTGGATGGTGAATCACGGTGTTTGTGTTTCGTTAGATTTACGTAAGAGGTTTGGTTGGTTTGATGTTTTTTTCCCGCGCCTCGATGTGCCCCGTAGATGTCTTGCCCGTACGTACGTATGTTACACAGGGAACAATGACGTACTTGCTTCTGTCCGCCCTCCTCCCGACTGGTACACGAAAAAATGGTGCGCCTGTCTTTCGTGTCTCTCGGTGCATTAACCGAGCGTCGCTCTCTGTTTTTTGGTGTTTTTTTGGCTCCTGCGGGCGCGAGTTCGTTGGCCCCTTTTCACGGCGAGTGGTGCTGGTAAGATGTGGACGAATTTTTTTCAAGCGTGGGTAGGTGTAGGACGTGTCACTGCCGGTACCAGAATGAGGAAGAGGCCGAAAAATACAATACCGTCCTACTGCATTCACGGCGAATTTGAAGGTTTTTAGTTTCCCGAGAGACCCAAGTCATGACCGTGGATGACGTCATGGGTCGACCATGGATTTTTCGACCAAACCAAGTTTCCCTCGAACAATTTTTTTGACCAATCAGAAAATTGCAGGCACCTTTTCTCCCTCTCCAAGCAAGCTGTTGTACGGAAAGGCGCAGCAGCGCTGCTGTCGGCCACGGCACCCCCGCGTGATCGACCAGGGACCAGGCAATAAGGAAAAGGCCGAAAAACTTGCCGTCCTACGATACCATACGTCGGCCGGGATAGATAGGCAGTTGGTGAACGGGACGTCGCGAAGCTTGAAGCGCGTGAAGGTCCTGTCAACTCTCCTCTCCTGTTTGCCCCCCGAAAGAACGGTTCTGGTCTTCCCATCGACTGACTTCTTTTCATGGTATCTGCCATAATTGGTGTTGTTTCGTTCGTATACTGAAACGTACGAGAACGCCGGTCGGTGCAGTTTGAGGTACTGTAGGCCGGGGGGGTACAGTACAGCCCCCGAGCAAAGACGTCAACAAAAAATAAATAAAGACAGCAGTCGCCTGGTAGGACCATGTGGTATGATGCCTCCCTCTCGCGTGACAGCAACCAGGCAGAGGACACTTCCCCTTTTTATGTGCATACGTTAGGTAGAGGCTTCCATATGCGCACGAGGTTAGCTTTTTTGTGTCTTTTCACGACCGCCATCAAGAAGGAGCCCCAACAACCGCAAAAAACGAGACACATGCAAAAGAAAGCCGCGCACAAACAATGCCGGCAACACGGCGAGTAATCCCGTTCCGTCGCACTAAAGAGAACGACACGCACAAGGCGAAGCAGGCATCAGACGCCTACACACCTAGATCTACAAGACATCGGCCATCCCAGGGCAACGTCAAAAACGCGAAACGAAAAGGAAAGAGGGGGGGGGGAAAAGCACAAAAAACGGGGAGGCACTATCTATTAATACTATTCGAACACACGACGGGTGGACGCGGGGCATGCTCAAGAACTATCTCAAGAACGATGCACGAGAGAACGAAAACAAGATAGACGTGTAGACCCCTTCCCTTCCTGTGTTTAATGTGGCGCGTTTTACAAGTCGTCGCCGCCAAAGAGACAGTTGTAAGGCCTCTCCGTGATGCCGGTCACGATGCTCTCCCCGTGTCTGGGTGCAGAGAGAGAGAGGGGGGGGGGAGAGGGAGAGGGAGTTTAGAGACAGAGAGAGAGAAATGAGGCAGAGAGAGAGGTGGGTGCGAAGTCAAGACGTGCAGAGCAGTCAGGCAGAAATAAAAGGAACGCCAGCATGTACCTGCACCTTTTGAAAAAAAAGAGACGGGAAAACACGCCAGAAGGGAAAAAGATAAAGACATCTGTACTTTGAGGTGGAGAAAAAAAAAGACTTCGGCAAGCGTACGTAATCATGCATGCAATCACGGCAGCAGGAGGCAAGGTTGGCCGAGCGGGGCGCTGGGGGTGGGTGGGGGTACTTCGGTGGCGGGGCAACAAACCGAAAATAAAATAGAGGAGAGCACGGAAGTCTGCGCGTTGGTGCATTCTCCCTGTGTTCGACTGCTGTTGCACTGAAACACAGAAGACACGTTGCGTACATGGCATGCGTGAAGGAGCTCATACTTGTCATTTTCATCGCCAGGGAGACAGAGCGGGGGGGGGAGGCTCACCTGACAATCGAAAACTCCGAGCTCTTCATGCCGCTCGATCGCTGCGCCTCGACTAGCTCTCGTGGGGCGTCGGCGTGGCGATCAGCAGCCAACGGAAACGTTCCCTGACATACATAAAAAAGAGAGAGCGACGAGATGGATGGTACGCATAAGCACAGCATAATGTAGACTTGAGACTTTCTCGTGTGTGTGGCAAGGAATCACCACGCCATGGGTTGTTTTTGCTTGTACATCCCAGAAGCACAAAAATCTTCGACGTTTGATCGTTCCAAACGCAGAAACATGTGCGGTTAACAACAAAAGTGTCTATAGAGTGTCGCTCGCTTGGCAACTGTCAAGCAAGAGAAAAGACACTTAAGTGCCCGCAGTTAGAAGGACATTAAGGCCAATCAGAAATGACCAATAGGAAAACTGCGGGCACTTAATGCCTTTCTAGGAAATTCAAATGTAGAAAAATAGGCTGCTTTCGTGCATAGAGGAGAGGCCTTGCGCGCGCACGGTTCCACAAGCGTCCAAGCTGGAAGTTGCAGAGCTGTGTCCTGGAAGGCCCAGACCCTACTTTCGTGTGAAGGTATTGCTGGGTGCAGGCAGGTGCGTGTGCCGTGTGATCTGCGTGTACCCACGCAGCCATCTAGGGCAACTGCAGATTGCTTGCTTCACGTCGCGAGAGGCATTTCACAGACGTCTTTTGTGCTCCTCAAAAAACCTCATTGTTCGCCCCAAAAAACGCGGGTTCGGAGAAAAAGACAAGAAAGTTTACGCTACGCAAAGACAGACAGCGGTGTAGTGAA